CGCCACAACGCCTGGCCATTTTTTAGTTGCAGCCATCATTGTTGTTTGGCAGGCCCGGGCTGGGGATTTGAACCCGCCACCTTAGGTGTATGTGGCTGGCGCCTTAGCAGCTTGAGCCACAGGCGCCGAGCCGACATGTTCAAATTTTTAAAAAGGACATATAAAAACATATTATGTACCTTTTATTTATTCATTCAGTTGATATCTGTTTTGTATTGTGCTGGCCTTTGGGGATATAGCAGTAAACAATGTTTTTTTTATTTTTTTTTTAGAGACAGAGTCTCACTTTTATTGCCCTTGGTAGAGTACTATGGTGTCACAGCTCATAGCAACCTCCAACTCTTGGGCTTAGGCAATTCTCTTGCCTCAGCCTCCCAAGTTGCTGGGACTACAGGCACCCACCACAATGCCTGGCTATTTTTTTGTTGCAGTTTGGCTGGGGTCAGGTTTGAACCTGCCACCCTCAGTTTATGGGGCTGGCACCCTACCAACTGAACCACAGGCGCTGCCCAGCAGTAAACAATGTTTTATCCTTTCTAGAGTTTACATCAGTTTACATTCTTGTGTGGGAAATACTTAGTAGACAAAGGGAGAACTAGATATTTGACAGAAGTGCTAATGACCAGTGGACAGCAGGGTAAAGGACTAAGACTGAGATGAGTGGGAGCATCCTGGTGGAAGGGTGATTCTGAGCATATGTCTGCACGAGGTGCGGTGCCGGAGAAGGTTATGGACCACTGGGAGCGACCGTGAGCTTGAGTCAGGCAGGAAAGTGCAGAGCCAGATAGGGACAAATATTAGGTGATAAATGCTGACCCGGAGGCCTGAGTGTCTCTGATAACTGAGGTGTAAACAGAGACATGGCTTAGGGAGCATTGTCAGTGGTGACACCTTGGATCGGGCTCATAAGCACTTTATTGTGGTGTATATGTATGTCCTTTGGTTACCCAGAAAAGACAGTAAAACATTGTTTATTTATTCAGACAGTTAATTTTTTAGCATTTCTTATGGAGGGCTTGGTATTTGTCTTTCTTTAAAACTCTTCCTTTCTTTAGCCTATTCTTGTTCATCTGTACTGTGAAGTAGTTGTGATGTAATTAACTCAGGGAACTTCTGATAAACTTCC